GGAGATATGTGTGATGAAATTCTCCAATCCAAGAAAGTTGTTCCGTGCTTACTTGCGTCAACATCTTGGCGTCGTCCACAATGTGCTGGTTGCGCTTAGCTGGTATGGGCAGTGTGAACTCAGAGCTGAGAGAATTTCAATCCGACAACGTTGGGAGAGCATAAGGTTTCGAGGGTTTCTTAACCATGCGTTGAAACAAATGTTGGCAAGTGGAAGCGGAATCGCGGAGATATTTGAGAAACCTCTCTTCAAGCTGGCCCTCCCTGGGAGCTGGCTATGGCGTCACGAAACCTTTCGACGGTGCCCTTGCCCTCGGAAGCACCTTCGCGTGCAAGAACCGCACAGTCGAGTTGTGGATGAGTCCGTCGGGACTGGAAGTCAAAGGCTCGGATCAAAGCCAACACTTGTCGTGGCTTGACGTCGTTGGAGCAACAGCGGAGAGCACCACACTAAACATCAACACGTGCAAGAAAGACAACAAAGGCCATCGCCACCTTGACACGTTTGTGTTCAATGGACAAGGTAGTGACGACGTCAACGAATTCGCACAGGCCATCCGATATATGGCGAGATTTCCCGGCCAGCACAACCCAACATTGCCATCCATTGAGCAAATGGCAGAGCAGGCACCGCCATTGCAGGTATGCACCGGTCAATTCGTCTCGCGAAGTTCTGACATGGAGCGAATAGAAATGTTTGGTGCTCATCAATCCTGTTGGCGGTACAGGTATGTATCGCCCGCACATATATTGCGATTTTCTCATAAATGATCAAAACTGTGGTCTCGAAGGTCACGCCGAGAGCACGTACGACAGGAAGGTCCACAATGTGTTGGAAGCAGCTAACATCGTCGTCACCAAAGTATTAACAACGCATCAAGCGCACGCCATGGAAATTGCGGAAACACTCGACTTGACAGAGTACAACTTTTTGGTATGCGTCGGCGGCGATGGTCTCGAGTTTGAAGGTATCGATCCAACATCCTCCTGTTGGGGGGCTAAACACGCACTTTCATGCGATTAGTGGTCCAAGGACTCATGCAACGAAGTGACTGGCACGATGCGATTCGATTCCCGATGGGGGTACACAGCTCACGGCGTCGTTGATCTTACGGACGTGTATGCTTCAGATCATACCTGGTGGAAGCGGCAATGGATTGGCAAAGACACTCCTCCACAACGCCAGCGAAGTGTACAGTCCTGAAAACAGAGCCTTCATCATAGCCAAGGCCTCGCCGCAGTCACTCGATATTGCTACAACGAGTACGTGGGCGTCGCCATGAGTTGATTGCCACGTCGCTGTAGGAAACGCGACGTCGACAAGATACAGCTTTCTAAGTCTATCGTGGGCCTTCATCGCAGATGTAGACTTCGAATCCGAGTGGTGTCGCTTCATGGGGTCGACGCGATTCACGGTGGCGGCAGTCATGAAAATCCTGACCTTCAAACGTTGGAAGGGCCGACTATCTTACTTGCTCCCAGACAAGGATGCCGAACCTCAGCACTATTGGAACAATCCTGGCAACAACGAACCCTCCAATGCCCCCGTTATACATCTCTTGCCCAAAACGATAGGCGGGGCTCTCCCGAACAAATGGGCAACCATGGAAGGCAACTTCAGCCTCTTTTGGTCGACCAGTGTAAGCCACCCGACGTGGGATGCTCACCTCGTGCCTGGTGCGTCGTCCAGCGATGGATACTTGTACTTGGTGGTCGTCGAAGGCGATGCTTCAGTGATGACGATGACGAAGGTGCTGCTGGGCCTTGAAACCGGATCGCACACAGCATTGGAATCGGTCCAAGTCATCAAGACAAGGCAAGCCACGCACACTCACCAAGCGTGGTTCGTTTACTTGCGACTATTGTAGGGCGTTTGAACTCCACGTGGACGACCCGAACTTCCTGTCCTTGGACGGAGTACGATTCGGCGGCAACACGGTTCAAGTGGAAATGCATCGTGGGTTGACCTCTGTGATGGGTTTTCCTTGTAAATAATTTTGGTGCCGTTGAATCCTCGCATTACACAGACAACGCTTCGTTGACACTGTTAACCAAACCGCGCTTTGACAAACTCCCGAACGACTACAGCTGTCAGGACGACTGCTAGTGACGCAGTCGTCTTGGTCTCGAAGAACGCGTACGATGGCGACTCCCTCGGCTCGACATCTGACTCCTCGCACTCGTGAAGGTCAGAGACATTCGACTTGACGTGCACATCGACGTAGACAGGTCGTTCCTCCTCTCCGACAACACCCTGCTCTTTTAGCGCAGCCAGTTCGCCCGCCAGCTCTGCGATTTTGGCCTCGTATTCATTCGCAGCACGCTGTTGACGTTCTTCATGCTCTTTGATAACCTTGTCCAGCAGGCCTTGAGAAGACTTGGCTTCGTGGAGCAGCTTCTCCTTCTTCACTTGGCATTGCTTTAGGAGAGCCTTGAGCGTCTCGATCTTGGAGTCGCGTTTCGCAATGGTACCTTCAAGGGCCTACAATAATATGATGAGCACTAACGTAGTTAATAATAATGAACGCACCGCAAGGTCCGACGCAGCCTTCGCTTCGTCTTTCGCCGCGGACTGCATCTGCTGCAATTGAGCAGTCAGGAGGGCAATTTGACTCTCTCTATGGGCCAGCTTCGTCGTGAGTTCAATGTGTGCCATGTCGACAGGGGCAGGTTGCTTTGACTTTTCAGCGCGGAGGGTAAACAATTTGTCCTTGAGCAACTTGTCTTGCACTTGGGCTTCCTTCAATTGACCGCGCAGGGCTTCGACCGTTGCTTCTAACGCATCGACGCTATCGCTTTTTTGGCGAACCGCGATCGTGGATGCTTCCAGTTCTTCCGCCATCGACGCCAATTGCCCTTGAGTTAACAGTTTCGCAGATTCCAGGACCTACGTGAGAGGATGAGGATTCAACATCACCAAAAGCATTGCTCACCAGAATTTGTGTATTTGCCGTCGCAAGATCATTGGACGTTTCGTCGAGCTTCGCTTGCAACGAATGAATCTGGTTTGTTAAGTCGCAGATTTGGAGGTTGCCTTGCGTGATCACATGCTCGAGCTCTTCGTTCTTTGCATTGGCATCTGCAGTAGCTGAGGCGCGCCTTTCGGATTCGCGCGCTAGATTTGAGTTGACGGCTTCCAGTTGACTGTATTTTTGCACCCATGCCTGTATCGAAACGTCTTTGGAGTCATGGAAAGAAGTTCTGGCATTCATACATACCGAGATGTCAGCAGCCTGTTCATCATTTTTGGACATGGCAGCGGTAAGCATGCCCTGCAAGCTGTGCGTTTGGGTCGAAAGCTCGTTGAGTTGGTCGTGTTTGTCCTCGATCTCTTGCTTCAACGCTTCCTCACGGACACACGTAGCCTTCA